GATTGATTCGTTATCTATGAGTTATTAACACTTTTCAGGTTATTTAAATCCAGGAAATATTTGTGGGGGAGTAAATAATGGTTTAGTGATACAAGTCTTACTAATTAACCCATAGCTGGGGGAGAAGAGATGGATTCATACTTTTTCCAAGGGTATTCGTCAGTAAGTAACTATAACGGACCCAAGGGAAATTGGAACTCGTTATCCAGTACACTACCTGCACATCGAAGCTTACAGCACCTAGAATTCCCAAGAGATCACCCATCTAGGTACTAACCAGACTCGGCGTTGCTTAACTTCAGTGATCTTTGTTTGAACGTTATGTGGTCCGTAAGCAGGCATTATGAACAAGTTAATATAAGTTTTTGTTATGATATTTTCTGCTTATGTAATTCAATTTGATTACAGAATATAAATTTAATTAAGGTAATACTAACTTTCCGATCACGAAATACGATCTTGCATGCAAATTATTAGTTACTAGCAGTAGCACCTGGCGTTGCCCGGGGATGTAACAGTAAGAGATAGATCAAGTATCGACCATCATAAAGACTGAAAAATAAAATTGACAAAGATTATTGTTTAAGGTTGACGGACACGCATGTCTTAATTAGTTTTTTTTGTTTTTGTTTGTTTTTTTTTTAAGAATTTGTCAATCCCAAACTCAAACAAGAACATTGTTTTCAATCGTTAGGAGTCTACCGATTGAATAGAATTTTATTATAAACAATTGTCTTGTAAATGGAATTTTTAAAGCATTCTGAATGTAAAAATAAAGAAAAAAGTGTGCAAGACAATAAGAAACATTACCTGCAAAAAAAAAGTGAAGTTTTGTTGAAATCGGTTGAAAAATGTAGGAAATCCGATCCCATATATAAACGAACACAGACACACACACACAAACAACCTGGGTTTTATAAGTATAACTCGATATAAGTTGTCCCTTTTTCATTCCGCGAAAGCGATGCCTCTTAATCGTGTTTTCAAATTGATTTTGTGCAAAAACAATTGTGTTTTTCCAATTTTTGGCGCGGTCAGAACCACCGCAAGGTAATTTTACGTAGTACTGTGAAGTTTTGTTGAAATCAGTTGAAAAATGTAGGAAATCCGATCCAATATATAAACGTACAGGCACACACACACACAACCTGGGTTTTATAATAAGTATGATTCTTGCACAAAATACTTTCAGTATAGAATTTCATACTATGATATGCAATATATATGAGACTTGGAGAGATTAAGATAGCAAATATATATATTAAAATCGAAATATAAGTAATGATCCTCAAAATGTGACAAAATAAATAAAATGTCTTTTAATGATGGAACAATTGTTTCCGTGATTTTCTTTGCTCTTTTTAATTCTTTAGAATATTCCTTGAGATTGATTATACAAATAAAAGCTTGTTCTGACGAATCATTCAGTCAGTTAAGTGCCATAATTGATCATGTCTCTTTCGATTCATTACTGACTTGGTAGAAGATTTTCCCGCAGTAGGTTGCCATTACTTTCTGCAATAGACTGGTTGCTAAGCAACTTAATGGAAACCATCCTGTCCTGCTGCTGTTCACCCATAGAGGGGATACATTTTTCAAGAGTATTTGCGAGTAAGTGATTGTCATGAACGCGTCTGGAATTCGAACTCAGCTCTCCGATTTTTCATTCCGAGCCGTTATCCATTACACCACACCTCACACCAGATGAATAGCGAACTTCGCAGAAAATGGGTGACCAATTCTAGAAGATAGAAGGTGAATTTATCATCTAATTTAGAGATTCTCAACTAAAACAAAACAAAAAAAAATGAGAAAATAAATATTTGCATTTTCTTTACATATTATTTAGAGAGGAAAAAAAGCATTCTTATATTACATTTATTGCTAAACATAAAAAAAACGTAAAATAGGTGAAAAGAACAAAGCATTTTAGTTGCAACACATACCAAAATATACCTGAGCCGACATTCAGTCTTTTTCCTCCTTTATACCGTCCAATCACCAACATTTTTATCGAGATCAATAACCTGTCTTTACTTCTTTGGCAGTTTGAGGAGCAAACAAAGACAATTTTCTCTTGGTATACAGCTTGAGGATTTTTAAGAAAAAAATTCAAAGACACAAACGAATTTGGGGAAAGGTATGTGGTACCGAGTCTTCCCTAGTACAGGGCTTGAAGCACGCAAGATATTGCTAGCGCGCGCACGCACACACACACACACACATATATATATGTATATATATATATATATATATATGGAATTTACAAAGATTTATTTTTAATCCAATATTTTTATCATTTCAAACGTTATTATAATGGATCTTCATATTTAAAATATAGACGCACTACTTTTTTTTTACCTAAAAAGGTATGTATATCGTCAAGAAATATAAATTAAGAAAATGCCGACCGGAAAGCCCATTTTCTTCATGAAGATTTCTTGAATACATAAACCGATACAGGGAATGCGCAGTGTTTAAAGTAAATTAAAAAATGGTGCGTTTATTTCGAATATGAGGATCCACTATAATAACATTTGAAGTATGTGTGTGTGTGTAAATTTTCAGATAGACCCCCACCCCACCGTTTTACTGTTGAATTAGCTAGATGCAATCACCACTCTACTCTAACAGTTTCTTTTCTCGCACTTCCCACCTGAGTAAATTCCTTCTGATTTCTTGCTTCCCTGATAACTACAATCTTCAAAAATTTAAATGCAACGTCAATCGCTATCATCTGTCTTCTTGAACCCCGTTCCCTTTCGTCCTTTCCTCAATCCCCCACATTCTCAGTCTTCTCACTTTCACTTTCACTTTCTAAAAGCCCATGCGTTCTAATGGCATTACCGCTTTCCTTGTAGTGAAATGATTAAAAAAAGAAAAGAGAAAGTATATCTGTAAAAGAATAAGATGAATAACGACAAAAGAAAAATGTATTTTATCCCACGCGTTTCCTCCACTGGGGGATTTTATCAAAGCAAGGAATTTATTTTATAACAAGTATTTATATACAAGAGCAAAAAAATGTTATTGATTTTTAAAAATTTTTGGGTAACTTAATGAATATTTATGAAAACTCTTAAATTTTTCCTTTCCTCTTTATTCATATATATATATATATATATATATATATATATATATATATATATATATATATATATAGATAAGATATATATATATATATATATATATATATATAAAAGAAAAGATAAATATATATATATATATATATATATATATATATATATATATATATATATATATATAAAAGACTCTCCTGTCGGTTTCGATGTATGAGGATCTGACAGCTTATTGATTCAGTTATCAAAGTTTGTGCGATAATCTTAAGTGGCATTTAAGACTCGCTAGTAATTTACAAAGGAGGCCTACATATGGAGCAAGTGTGAAAATTGTGAAATGAGATCACTGTTAGATTGGCTGACCTTTTAGATCTTGCTCTCGATATATATATATATATATATATATATATTTACTAATATATATATATATATATATATATATATATATATATATATATATATGGTGGGAGTGATGCAAAAATATTTCTATGGTACCAACATTTACAAAATCTAAGCGTAAATCTTAGAAATGCGTTATAATCTTATATTTAACTATTTCTGTATCCCCGTCTGTCACGCGGGTGACCGGGGTTCGATTCCCCACCGGGGAGCGTCTTTATTCTTTCAGCACCTCGAGGCGGTGTAATGGTTAGCAAGCTTCTCTTGCTAGAACAATTACCATTAATAGTGAGTTCAATCCTCACTGGGTGCCCCATACTTGCAGCCTTGTGCCACATCTAAGCTACGTTTAGAATATCACTATATTTAAAATTGAAATTCGAATATATACAGGATGCGATGGATAAATTGTCGTCTAAAATTCGCAAAAATATCACTGACATCTCATTTTAACAGATAAATTTACCAAAATTACACAAAAAATATCTTGAAATACTAAAGAGTAAATTTATTCAATAAAATAGCCAATGGCTTTAACCACAGTCTCCATACGACTTCGGAATCACCTGCAACTTTTCTGGACCGTCTCCTTGTTTAATTTGATGAATGCTACCATATTCTTTGCCTTCAGTTCATCTATGGTGTTACAAGGAGTCTTGTTGGTCTCTCGCTCAAATGCGCCCCACACATAATAACCAAGATGGTTGCTTTCTGTAGAAAATTAGACGTAAGGGTTGATGTAGTCGCTGAAATTGTCCCACAGCCATGATTGGATTCTCCTACTTGTGTGGCATGATGCAGAGTCCTGTTGCCAGATATAGTGTCTGCCAGCAACGACCCTCTTGACCCAGGGCAACACTGTCTTCACATGGCATTTGATGTAGGCTTCCGTGTTGAGTGTGCATATACATACTAAATTACGCAAAAATGAAAATAAGTTGGTGAATGTTACCATAACACTTGCCTTCTGTTGAAAAAAAAACTACTGTACGATGCTATACTCATGTTTAGTTAGCATAAAATAAAAATGAAAAAAAAAGAAAAAACAAAACAAAACAAAAGTGGAAAAAAAATGAAAAAGCGGAAAAAACTAATCCTCTGAGAAGGCTTCAATTATAATTTTCCACGGTCTTGTGTCCAATGAAATATTCTTAATGACATTCTGTCGATACTTTGTTCTGTTTATTTCTTAACTGTCTATTAGTGTTTTTTTTCTTCAATTCCGAAGTTCCTTTGGTTTTACCGATTAGATTTTTCATATGCATATTTTTACTTCTTCGTATATTCTATTTATTCTGTCTTGTTCTTCCATACTTTGTCTTTTTTTATTTGATTTAAGTGCTTTTTTACTCCTTTGTTTCTTTCCTGTTATTTCATATATTTTACAGGCGCTGTCTACTGGAAAATAAAAACAAAAAAACAAAAACAGTTTGTATTTATTCTTTCTCTCTTTTTTTTTCTTCATTTCTTCTTTCATTCTTTCTTTATTTTATATTTCTTTTCATTTGTCTTGTTGGCGAGTAAAAATCTCTTTTCCTTTCTTTCTTTTCTTTCTTTCTTTTTTTTTCTTTCTTTCTTTCTATCGTTTTTGCTATATTTCTCATTCGTCTTGCTGGCTACTGAATATCTCTTTTCCCATTCGTTTCGATAATTTCTTTCCCACATACTTATCTTTCTTTCTTTCTTTCTTTCTTTCTTTCTTTCTTTCTTTCTGTTCATTTGTCTTGTCGGCTAGTGAAAATCACTTTTCCCATTCATGTAGTTACTGTCTTTTTTACATGCCTATTCTTTCTTTCTTTCTTTCTTTCCATCCAAAGCAAGGCGATAATGCTACGAGGAGTGAAAGAAAAGAAGAAGACCTTATTCAGGAGAAAGGACAATAAAACAATTCAGGGGACAGAAGATGGCGATTGGCATTGAATTTAAATCTTTGAAGAAACTGGAAGAGAGGTCCATACACGAGAAAAGAATCTATTCGAATAGAACACACGTTTCTATCTAGCTCATTCAACAGTAAAAGATTGAGACCTAATTGCCAGTCTGTCGCTTAAATTCAGTCGATGCACCAATGAGATCAGCTCATTAGAACAACTGACATGAAAATATTTGTAGAAAAGACATGTCGGTAGATGTTTGACATCGGAATTCCAGGTCTGTATTTCCTTTACAGACTTTTCTTTGGATTGTATCAAGAATATCGAAATGGATAATAAGATCCCCAGAAAACATATAGCAGAAATATTCAATACACGGACGAATAATGTATTTATAAGTGTGCAAAAAGGATTCTGACGAGAATAAATTTTCTGGTACAACACAGTGATTCAAATTTCCTGGCAGTGGACATAGCCGTTGATTCAATATACTCACTGTATTTCAGGTCAGTGGAAAAAGTGAGCCCAACAAGATTTTTAATTTCACCTTCGTCCATTTATGGCCTTACATTTATTTTTATTATATAAGATTTCTCGGCTACAATGTTTTTCTGAGTTCATCCGCCATATTTGGTTCATATCTTCAATCTTTGTTGTCGTTGATCAGATGTTGTTTATGTTTCACAATGTTTAATTCAGTTTTCTTTGTCGTGTCGTGCTGAAGACATTGCTCAGCGGAAAATATGTCATTAAAATTCTGTTTTCAATTTCCTTTCTCGTAAAAACAATATACACATGTACCAAAACAAGTGCACACACACGCGAACATATAGGCGCGTATAGGCATACATCTGCTAGCACCCATACGCGCTTAATATAAAAATAAAGTCATTTACTGAGCTTATCTTCGACTCAAGGCCACAAGTGGGGCATTTCAAACCCCCTTTGCCTTAAGACGCTGTTTGGATTATTTACATGCGGTTTATTTTCCTTATGTTTGTTATTATTATCAGAACGTTTCGATCGCTGTAAAGTCCGGCCTTCATAGTTAAGTTAGATGTATAGCAGTTAATATATTGCGTTGTCACACACACACACACACACACACATATATATATATATTGTTATATATATATTGTAGTTATAACTACAGAATGAACTATAACTAACACTATATATACTACGCCTCTCAAGAGAGAGGGTTGAATCGAGTCGAGCCGATAGTAGTTCACTCCAAACCAGACTGACAGTCATACTAACACCTTCCACATCTTGTATTATTACTTCATGTAATATACCTTCGGTTTTTCTACTCTTCTGTTCGTGATATTCTTCCTTGGTCCTAACCTGGACCATAACACACACACACACACACACACACACACACACACACACACATATATATATATATATATATATATATATATATATATATATATATATATATATATATCAGTGTGTATAAAAAATACATTTACAGACTTTAGGGCGGGTTCCTCACATTAACATGAGGTCAAAATTCCATATAAACATATGTCCGAAAATCACATATATACACATATACACGCATATACCCATACACACACACACACACACACACACACACACACACACACACACACACACACACACACATATATATATATATATATATATATATATATATATATATATACACATACATATGCATGCATTCCTAAATATACACACACACACACACACACACACACATATATATATATATATATATATATATATATATACCCATAGATCACACATATATATATATATATATATATATATATATACGTCCACACACATACACATATATACATATACACATAGATATACATATATACATATACACACACATATATATATATATATATATATATATATATACATAAACACATAAATATATACATATCTCTACATACATGCACACATACGCATAAACACACAAACATATATATATATATATACTTACACGCACACACACATATACATATATATACACATATATACATATACATATATCCACATAGACATACATAGACATATATAGACATACATATATACATATGCACATACACGCGTGCGCCCGCGTGTGTGCATGTATACATCTACATATCCAAATATGACCAAGTAAAATATATAATATATATATTTTGAAGAGGATAGTATCCAAGTAGAACTCAATGTCCAGGACAGAGCAAGGATATAATATAAAAGTCTCAGTGACTAATATTTTATGGTTACAATTTATCACATTGGATTTCTAATCACGATTCAATTCATCAGACCTACAAATTCTGTTTTTGAATTTTTGATGAATTGAATCGTGATTATGACTCCAATGTGTATTTGTATACATAAAGATTTTTTTTCTAAAAGGGTTGTTTGAATATGAATACGCCGTATTGAACTACAAAAAACAAAAAACAAATTGTAGTTCAATACAAAAATCTTTATTTATGCACATACACATCTGACAGCGTAACAAAAGTGCCAAAATAATTCTGTCGTTGAAATAAAGCATGAGTCGAACGAATGTCATCATTCGTTTGAAAAAAAAAGGCACCCGACCCTAGCTTAACGTCTTTTCTAAAGTAACTAATATGTTGATACAATAGTTGTCAGTGAAAATGAATACCCTTCCGCCCCTTATTAAAATGATTGGTTTTCTCCATATCCATGGAAATTAATAGTACGAACGTATATGCTTATAAAGCTCCGTAAATTTCAAATTTGTTATTCCAAAATTCGCTTGAGGCTGAAACAAAACTAGCTGCTTTAATTTAATTTAATTTCTATAAATGAAATTGAAGTTTTTTAGCTTCTGTCTTTGAAGCATGAGAACTCATATGTAGCGATGGAATCATATTTTTTAAAAAATAATTATAATATATATATATATATATATATATATGTGTGTGTGTGCGTGCGTGTGTGTGTGCGTGCGTGTGTACTAGGAATAAAATATAAACACCCAGCGTATCTGCTTCCATTGCACAAGTAAGACACATAGAGGTAATTTGCTTCGATATCAGTTACGATAACATATAGAGATGAAGACATGTACAGGTTCTAAATCATGTGTTATGTTGACCCATTTAAAAATATATATTAATGCTCTTTACATCATCATAAGGCGTTAGCTACCCACCTCTATATACGGATGCACATGATCGTGCAGAAACCGAATACATTCCTGTGATATATTAGTCTGTTTTGAACCATTTGGCAGAATACAGTAAGTTCTCATCGTTTCATCATCGGTAAAGAAGGTCATTGGGGAGCAGATCTGACAATAGTTGTTGATGATTTGCCGTAGATTATTGCGTGCCATGGGCATCATTTGGACCGACATTATCTTCATGGAAAAGCGCATTGATTTCCTGTTGCAGACGGATAGCAGAAAAGTTATTTTTAAGTAAATCTGACAGAGTATGGAATGTTAAAATAGTTACTACCATCTTGCCGCAAAAAGTGCCCAAATTATCCTTATATAATGAGTGATTGTTGTTACTGTGGTACAACGGTAGTTTTATAAAAAAAAATATTTTTTTGTGTATAGATGTTTATTGCAACAAAAGAAAAGCAATAGTTTCTTGATTTTAAAGAAATTAGAAAAATTACTACCAAAAAAATAGCTACGGAAATGATCTTGATTTAAAAATACTGTTGGCAAATGGCGCAGATTTGGAAACAAAGTGAACAAAGTTAGAATTGTGTAGAAACAACCTCAGGCTGATCATGCAAGGTGAGTAGTCGAAGGTTTATACGTTATATCGGGAGATTAGTGAATTAAGAACCAAGAAAAGGAACTGGGAATTTTGTTAATGAAGTAAAATAAAATTTATATGCAGTGAATATTTTTGGATTACAACAATCAAACTTTTCTTTGTGTCGTGTATTGAAAGCTTTACTGAATTCGAAAACAGACAGCCATGTTTAAAAATGGAGTTGGATAATACAGGTAAAATTTCATAGTTTTGGACAGAATATTGAATTAAAAAAAATAAAAAAAAATAATAGAATAAAAAAATCAATAGAAACAAATAAACAAAAGAAACGAAAATTTATTCATGTCTGTTTGTATTCAATGAGTTTGGCGGTGTGTAATGAAAAAATTCAACTAAAATGTTTTGGTCGAAATATTAGTGTTTTTGGTTACACCTGCTCATATGGTACTGGTGATGTGAATCTTCAATGCTGGAGATTCCAAAAAATATAGGAAAAGAAAAGCTTTAGCCTTCACTAATGCCTAGGAAGAAGATATTTCGTCTAACATGATAATGATCTACCAATATATATATATATATATATATATTTGAAAAAACAAATAATATATATTAAATAAAGAAATGTCGACGTCTGACGTTTCAGTTTATTAAACCTTTTCAGACAATATTCATCAAAATACAATTCAGTTCAATATGTCCATACGATGGTTTGAACTGAATTCCGAACAGATTTGAAAATGTCTGAAAAATGATGGAAACGGTCGACTTTCCTACATTTAAGGATTTTGTTTGTTTTTTCAAAATTTCTTCATTCTCGGATTTATTTTACACTTGCTTATATAATATATATAATATCCGAAAGTTTGACCTTTCTACAACAACAGTTCCTACAAAAATGGTTTCGTCTACTAGCTGTTGAAATTGATGGAACGTTTCCTTCCTTCGTATCAGATTTGTTTCTAATGGATTCTTTCACCAGATTTTATCTTTAATTATTTATTTTCTCTTCAAATTACATGTGCTATCCATTTTAGTTGTTGCTGCTGTTGGTAGTCCTCCAGTTATGTAACTTCTGTTATTTGTTAGAGTAATTTCTTGGTAATTCTTTTAGGTCATCGTAAAGCCTTTGATAGTGTGC